AAGGTGGAGTTTGGAAGTGCCCTTGTTCTCCCGTAAAAGGGACCTTTCCTTGTCATCCCTGCAGGTGTCTGTGTTCATCTTGACACACAGATGCTACGGATTCTACATTCATGGGAGAAGCATCCACGGACATGCAGAAGTGAGCTTGGACACAATGCTGTCTTATCTCAGGAAGGAAGAGGTAACCCTGGGTCATTGGTTTTTCATCATGTGGCTCGGAGGCTGCTCTTTCTAGCAGTCCCTTGCAGGATCATTGCCTTGGGCCCTTCTCAAGGTGAATGTGGCTGGAGGTTCCCTGCAGGTTGGTCCTTCAAATGAAGGTCTTCTTCTCCTTGTGCCTTCTTTTTACCTCCTACTGATAGGAAGGATTCATTTGTGGTCCAACCCCATGGAAGGTGTGCAAGGAGAACACCCAACCTATTAACATTCTTGCTTTGATTTCTCCTCAATGCTGCTTCTGAACCTCAGAGCCATCGTAACAAAAAGCCGCTGGTTGACCTCCATGAATTTATCTCGCTCTTTCAAAGTAACGGAATGGAGGCTTCTTGGTAGCCATCTGGATGTAGCCGAGAATTGGGAAGAGGAACCGTTCTCTTCCCTGAAACACCAACTCCAGGGGCGCCTTGTTCTCAGCCAACTGTGTGGATTCCAGAAATCATCTGGGCGAATTCTCCTCTTTCCTCCTGCTCCAATCTCCCTTATGAGTCATAACTTTCACTTACACGAACGCAAGATGCAGAATAACAGATTTAAATCAGAGGAACGCTGATGTGGGATAAATATTAGGAAACAAAATTCTTGATGTTAAAAGCAGATGAACACTAGAACAAAAACCCAAGAGGGATGGTGAGTTTCATTTCAGCGAGTGGGTCCAAAACAAAGGCTAAACGGCCAGTTCTTGTGGAGACTTTAATCCGGATTCCTTCACCGAGAAAAAACATTCCAACTTAAAGAGTCCCATAATTTAAACCTGCAAAATTGAAGTGAGGTCTAGGGAACTGGTAAGCATAGGAATCTCTCCTGTGTTTCCACTGGAACTTTCCCCTTCCTGTTGGTTTTCTTCCCAGGACAACCTTTGCCCCCTGAGGGGCTTGGAGCCCAATTCCGAGGTGCAGACCTTCGAGGTGCTTCTCACTGACCGGACTCGGATGTTCTACGACAGAATCCTCCTCTCGTTGATGGAGGTAGCAGACCTTGCAATATTTCCTTCTTAATTGCCTTTTCGAGAAACGCTGCACAAGCATCCTTAAGAATGATTTACCTGTCCTTCATAGCAGAGGGACTCGGTGATCCATCTCATCAAGGCCCATTTCCTTATCGGCCACCCTCCAGAGATGACGGGGCAGATATTCCATTCAGCCCAAAGGCTGAGACATTCCCAGTGAACCTCATTGGAGTGCACGAAATCTGCCTCGAAGCTCAAACATTTTTCTCCTTGGCTGCTAATCTGCGAGGGGAAGCTGTGGAGGCAACTAATGAAACATCGAATTGCAGTTTTGTGACATCATTTGGTGTCATGCATGTACATAAGAGTCAGACATTGTGATGCAATGACACACATTTTTGTCACAGCTCATGCTGGTGAACTCATAATCCTTTTAGCTGTGCTAAAAGGACCCTTTCCACGTTAGCTTAGAAGCGAACCCCCATGCCATATGAATTGGAAGCTGCTTCTTTGTAATCCTTCCGATTAAATAGGAAACAAAATTTTGTTGTAAAAGCAGTTCTGATGCACTCCTGGGGAGGAGTGGGGCTAATTAATTAGCAATCGATTATTATCGTGCAGGTGAGGGGGCAGCTATTCGGAAACAGAAGGAAGCTTCTACCGAAAGGCTCAGTAGCTCTGAAACGCCTCCATTCACCCTCCTTCAATAGAGGGGGCTGTTGAAAGTTCGAGCTACGAAAAGATCTTGAGGTTACTAAGAAAAACGACAGAGTGGCAAAAACCTTGTGCATGGTTTTTTGTCAAGGGTGATCAGAGAGAAAAATAGCAATTCCCATCTAAACATAGAACCATTTAATACTGGATTGATTGTGCCAAGGGGTTTTGTGCTCTACGAGGACCTCTTGAAGTATTGGGTAGCAGACCATGGAAACAGATGCTCCTATAAATCTATCTAGCTCTTGGGTGCCACAAAAACGTGTTCTTTTTTTTTATTTTTATTTTTATATTTTTTTAGAAATGAACCTTGGTTGAACTTTCTGGGTTTAGCTCCTTCAAGGAACAGCGGCTGAGCGTAGCCAACCTTTTTTCTCACTTTCTTCTTCACTTTCTAATTGAAAACTCCCCCTGGGGCTGGAGATGAGTTCTCAAATGCAGGCAGGTGAAAATCGAACTGACACTTCTCCCGCCCCGAAGGGAAGATCCGAGGAAAATAAATCAATTTTTCCACCACCTTTTCACCTGTGCCTACCAAGGGGCAGGCTTGAACTTTTAAAGTCCATGAATATTCTCCTTATAGCACCAGAGAGGACTCCATAGTCGCCCTGATCTTCACGAGCAGAGGATGAAGGGCTACCATGCGCTGAATTGGTTCCTGGTCTGCTTCTTGGAACATGTGAGTCTTCAGCTACATTTCGCTAAACTCCTTCCAGGGGTGGTGATTTATTCACTCTGTCGTCCCCTTGAGTTGAGCAGCTGGAAAAGAGCTCTAAATATGGTTTGAGGAGGACATTGGGTCTACGTCAGTAGAGGCCGAACATGGTCAAGGGGCTTCTTAGGTGTGTCAGAGACATTGCGTGATCTTCCACTTGGAATTTTACTTTATTATCCATTCTCTTTTCACCAAAACTGTATTCTTTTCTAAAATGTATTCGAGTTCATTTTATTAGATTAATGGTGTATGTTCAAGTTATCATAGCCACCCACTCCAGAAGAATCAAACTTTTTTTGGAAACATTTTTAGGGGAAGAAGAAAAGATGAAAAAGAAGAATACTGATTTTTTTTAAAAAATGACAAAATAATTGACAGAGTCACCCCAGTCAGTTGCAAAAGGCAGCTTGACTTGGAACCTGTGGGAAGACCTTTAATCCTGTCCAACAACCATATCTGCCAATTCCAGATCCTTGGGAAGGACTCGGTGGGTGGACAAAACTGCCAAATCCAGCCTAAACACCTGGCTGACCGTGCAATGAAGCATAATGTAGCAGCTCTTAGGATGTCTACTCTAAATAAGATGTCCCCTCTGCAGACTCGTTTTCCTTTTCATCGATCCTTTCTCTAACCCTTTCTCATTCTCTCCCTGTCCTGTAGAGGTATAACGATATGGACTACGTAGTGAAGGATAAGTTTTTCTCGGAGAGGATCATGGACTTGGAGTTTCAGGAGCAGGGAGACGTATCAGTTCTCTATAACGGTACCCATCGTGCTATGGGGATCTAGTTTTAAGACAGAGGCCTCCAAATTTGGCAACTTTAAAACTTGTGGACTTCAACTCCCAGAAGTTGAAGTCCACAATTCTTAAAGTTGGCTAGTTTGGGGACCCTGCTTTAAGGGCTCGCTCACACAATTTTGGCAGTAGATGAGGTTGAACCCTTGGAATTATCCTGCATGATGGTCTGAGCTTGAAGGCTCTGGCGACTTTCTCCTTCAGATGATGGTGCGTTGTTCAGTCGGACGCTCTTCTATGGCCACGAGACGCTGCTCCTTCTCTTTGAAACCCTCCTATTCTGCGCTGTGGATTTGGGGACACAGGATTTCGTGCTCTCAACCATTGTTACCTTTGCCGTGCAGAAGGTAAAATTTCTAGGTGGAGAGGAAATAGTAGAAAAATGCCATTTCCCTTCCTTTTCTTAAAACCAGGCATGACGTAGCATGAAGAAGATAAGGTTTTGCACCCACCCCCCCAAAAAAGTTGTTTTTGATTCACCAGAAGATCGGCTGCCAGGCCACGTGTGAGGGATAACGCAAGTCCTGGGAGCGTTAAAGGCAGGAGTAAGATGTGAGGTTGAATCAGGCAACCTGCCTCGAAATGTTATGTGTGAATTGAGGAAGCTGTGAGATGATTTTGTGTCCAGTCGGCATACATCTCAGCTCACCGTGCATGCTGACCCAGAGCCATCAACACCGGCTTGATGGTGGCGGCACTCAGGAAAGAGGGCCAGTGGTCTAGCGAGGCAGCTCTCGCTGAGTTAATTTGCTTTTTCTTGGCCATTTTGGAGAGGGGGAAGACAAGGGTCAGCTGTGCCGAGGACAAACGGAGGCCCGTCTTGTGTTTCAGCTTGTGCAAATACTGCGCGACGCACTCGGGAGGCGAAATCTAGCGGAGAAGACCTTGGTGGATAAGCAGTTCCTGATTTAAGACTCGCCACCGAGTCCTTCCATGCGGGAAGAGGAGATTCTTCTGGCCAGGTTGCAGATGCGCTTGCAAAGAATCCCACCCTAGGAAGTTTCCTCTTTTAGGGAAGAAATGTCTCAATCGTTTCTGTTTCCAGGATTCTCACTCAAAGCATGTGCAAGAGGAAGGATGTGGGGGGAGTATTTTCCTAGGGGGGTACAAAGACCTGATGCCTCTGCTTGGAAGTTTGGATGGCCACGTGCTTCTCTTTGTAGGCTCAGCACATTCCCAGTAAAATTACAGAGAATCTTTGATTTACCGTTTGTTTCATAATTTGTTCCAAGTTATAACAGCACTAAAAACAACGATTTATGACTTTGACGACTGAACTGCTGCTATGCTGGCTGGGGAATTCTGGGAGTTGAAGTTCACAAGTCTTAAAGCCACCAACTTTGGAGAGACACCCCCCCCCCCGCTCTTCAGTGGACTAGCAACTTGCCTCTTGCAAACCCCGATCTGATGTGTATGAAAACCGGCTTTTGAAAGGGTGGCCTGCGTGGACATCTTTTCCCAAACGAAAATAAAAGGATGTCCTTGATAACAAAGGCTTTTATTGTGATGTCCGATTTGGGGGTGTGGAGCAGGGAGCGGGTACCGAGCGGGAGGAAAACCTAAGGGGCAAAGAAAGTTGGCCGAGGAACAAAATAAAAAAAGGTCTAAATATCACGAACGGAGAAATTCGTCAGGGGGTCCTGCTGGCCACCCGCCAGATCTGGGGGTGCTTAGCGGTGCTGGTTTCTCGCATCTGCTCTTCTTCAGATTCTTCTTCCGTCTCCACCAATGTCAGTTTCTGGAGCGTGCTAGGGACACTCTAGAGAGGAACCAAGAAAACCAGGGTTACATTTATGGGAGCACAACAAGCCACGATTGCTGTCATGGTCAGTGCCAAGGCTGTGTTTTGACTCGGGGAGGGTCAATTCCTCCCCCCACCCACCCCCGAAACACCCCCTCTTATGGGCACCCCACATTGGTCAACAGCTCTTTTGGGCATCCCCCTCACTCCAGGAAGTCAGATTCCCCACCTGCAGTACAGGTAATCCTCGATTTACGACCACAATTCAGTCCAAAATGTATGTCGTTAAGTGAGACATTTCTTAAGCGAGTTTTGCCCCGTTTGACAACCTTTATATCCACCACTGTTAAGTGAAATCATTGTAGTTGTTAAGTGAGTAAACGGGGTTGTTGAGTGAATCTGGCTTGCCCGTCGATTTTGCTGGTCCGAAGGTCGCAAAAGGGGATCACATGGGACGCTGCAACCGTCATAAATATGAGACAGTTGCCGAGCGTCTGGATTTTCTTCACATAACCACGGGGGAAGCAACAGTCGTAAGCGTGAAACATGGCCATTAGTCTCCTTTTTTTCAGCGCCATTGTAACTTTGAACGGTCATTAAATGAGGACTACCTGTACTTGCCTGCTTGACTTGAAGCCAGCATCTTAGATCCCAAATTTAGACCTCTTTCCCTCCACCCAAACCTGGTTTTGCAACCTAAGACCTAGTTGCCCAACCATGAATCAAAGCCTGGGCCCTTTCTGAAGTTAAAATCCCGCCATTTTGCAGGCGTGTCCTTCTCCTGCGGTGGGAAAGGGGCCTGTTTTCCTACCTCAGACTTGGCGCCCCTGAGGACTTCTTTGGAGTTTGCCTCAGTGGAGATTTTGGGGTTCAGGGAGTTGTTGGAGGGACGTAATTGTGGGGGGACTTTCCAGTGGACGCCCCACCTTCCGCTGCTGTGAAGCAGCCCTGCTTTCTTTCCCCCATTCGCCCCATGTGGAAAAAGTCCTCTGAGGGGAAAAAAAAATCACCTCAGGATGGCTTCTCTTAGGATCCCATGGAAACGTGGGGAGTCCCGTTTAGTCCTGAAGAGGGAAAACTAAAGTCCTGATTCCTTCCATCCAAATGAATCAGAGTGGGTTAAAAAAAAAACCCAAAAGTATTTTTCTTCCCACAACCCCACCCTTAATTTGGGTGGAACAATGCTGGCTTGGAAGCCTCAACCCTGGGTCTACTCGGGAGCAAGCATTGGCTTCTAGTAGGCCTTCTTGCCAATCATCCTTTGATGAGCAGCAGCTGGGTGGAGACCAGAAAACCTGCTCCAAGCAAGCCACCAACATTTGTCAGAGCTGCTCTCTTCATTCTTTAGGCTGCATTTCTTGGCGGGACCTAAGACTGTGGATGATGGTTTGTTTCCTGGCTCCGCCTCTTGTTCCTTGCCCTTTGGGGTGACAGTTGACTCCTTTCCTTCCATAACTCCCTTTTGCCCTCTGGGTTTCTTTCCTGTGGCCCACAGAACAAGGTAGTTTATGTAGGCTGGACCTAGTCTTCTTGTCCCAAAAGTGCTTTTCCAAGAGGCAACGGGACACTCTGGTTTTTCTTTGAAGACATTTCGCTTCTCCTCCAAGAAGCTTCTTCAGCTCCGAAGAAGCAGCTCTGAAGAAGAGCTGAAGAAGCTTCTTGGGGGAGAAGCGAAATGTCTTCAAAGAAAAGCAAAGAAAGTCCCATTGCCTCTTGAAAAAGCACCTTTGGGACAACCATGACCTAGAAGACTGAGAATCTCCATAGACCCCTAGTCTTCTTGAACCTAACAGATAACAGATAATCAGAGTTGGGAGGGACCTTGTAGGTCATCTAGTCCAACCCCCCGCCCAAGCGGGAGACCCTACACCATTTGAGTTGATTGTCCTTGGAATGCCAAAATCCGTCCTTCTGCCCTTTCCTGGGGAGTTTTCTTTCCCCATAGTCCTTCCTCATCCAAACCAGGTTTAGGCAACCAGGTTGTCCTTCCTTACCTGTGCTCCTCTGGACCATGGAAGGCTGGAGATTGGGTTGGTGGCAGTGGCTGGCTTGGAGTCGGGGAACCTTCCGGAAGCAAGTTGTATTTTTGCTCTGAAGTCCTGTCAAGGCAAGAATTTCATTTTGAGGAGGCCAGCAGACCAGTTGGAGGGATAGAGTCCCACTTTTGAACCCTGGGGAATTCTGGGAGTTGAAGTCCACATATCTTAAGAGTGGCCAAGATTGAGTTACACTGATCTATATGTTGGGAAGAGGTTAAAAACCACCCAATAAAGCTGAATAGTTTGGCTATATTGACTACATGCTTGAACCTATAACCAGGGGTGGGCTTCAATTTTTTTTAGCAAGGGGCTCTCTGCCCTAATGACTGGCTGGGTGGGTGTGGCTGGGTGGTCATGTGATTGGGTGGTCATGGCTAGGTGGTCATGTGACTCGATAGGTGTGGCCAACTCAACGACACTTCTTTGCCCTAATTACCTAAAAAAAGATATATACCAAAAAGTTGTTTATTATTTCGTGCATTATTTTAATACTTAAATAAAAGACTGGGTGAAACCAGGCTTAATAGCAGTGACTATGAGAGGGATCTTAGTGGAGTTTCTGGTGAGTTATGTGATTCTTGGGGCTTCTTGCGAACAATGCAAACCAGAATGGCTCCCCTTTTGTGCAAATGTTGGCGATGGAAGCTTAGCCAGGTGCCTTTGTGCTGTTGCAGGATTTATGCCAAAGCCCACAAATGGACACCACCCAGCCTCTGTGTTTTCCCACCGCTCGGTACCTCCAAATCTTTTTCTGCATCGTAATTTTCCAGAGTTTGGAATGCTTGGGAATAAACCTCCAGAGCTTTTGCATGGAACGCCATCTCGATGCCGGTGAAATCCAAGAAGATCTTCTGCAAGGTAAGGAAGCAGCAGAGCAACAAAATGTGAGTCTTGATTGTCTTTTTAATTCTCCTAACAGTTTTTTTGTAAACAGTTTCTTTGGCATATTTGGAAGCGTCCTGTTTTCTCAGCCTCATAAGAACTGGTCTGAATAAGTCACTTGGGACATGTAATTTTCATGTGAAGTTTGACGAGCGAAAATTGAAAACCCCAAATGTCTTCTCCATAACGGAATATACATTTGTTCTAGCTTGATGTTACTGTAACTGTGAGGTCAAAATTACAGCCTCCAAAAGGAAGAAAGCAAATT